CACAACCCTGGGTGTCCAGCAAGATGGTTGCCTGTGTTCTTGCAAAAGCCAGGTGACTACATATGCCGCAGGTCCTTCTTCCTCCATCTCAACCGCAGCATAGCGCAAGAAGCGATTGTGGAGCTCCCTATTCCAATCACCATTGACAAAGCGTCTGGCCGGCATCTGTGGTAGCCGCTGAGGAACTGAATTGTTGAGTGAGACTGCCGCAAAATCTGAAATATTGTGTTCACTTTGACAAACAATAGGGCTGTGTTTCCCTTGCTGAAAAAGTGACATCGAATCTGGGTCTTCTGTGTCTTCCGAGATGAGATCATTGATGAGTTCCTCATCGGCAACGATGGCAATAATGGAGTCACCATTGTCAAAGTGTACAGGAGCTGCGTCTTCTGGATCGACCCAGATGCGATTGACCCAGAGATGACAGCGTGTCTGATCTTCTTGGTAATGATCCTCGAGTCCCAACAGTCGAAAGATGGACAAACGATTGGCTGTATGAGGAATCCAGCTAGGTCTTCTTGCATAGGTCGTGGGTTGAACTTCTCCACCAGGATAAACCTCAATGTCAACCAAAATGAGTCGCAAAATGTGGGAACTCGGTGGCTGCAAATTTGTTCTCATGACGAGACATTCACGGTCTCGTACATCAAGATCAGCTGGAGGATGGTCGACTGAATAGGCAAAAACTTCCTCATTGTCAGAGATTCCAAATAATGGTCGCAACAACGATGGAAAATCTTGGAAGCGATGCCATGGTAAAACAACTTGGCTGGCCATTCCATTAATGGGAAAGACAGTGGTTTCACGCCATACTCCAGTGCACGTCTCCTCCTCGGAGCTGGTATGGGTACTCTCAGTTTCCGTAGCTGTGAGCAGCTCTGGGTCATGAGGGTCTCGTGCAGCATTGGGATCATCAATGATGGCTCCTGTCGGTTGCTGAGGCAGCGTTTGATGAGCAAGAAATGACGTCGTGTCATCATCATCAGGCCATTGTTGTAGAGTTGGAGTGTCATAGTGGGCACGCACTGTACTCTCCCATTCCAAAGGTGGCTGAGGTGGTGGGACTTGAATAACAAAGCCCAAACCCTCATGCACTCGGACTGGATCACCATGCGGAAGTACACGAGTTCCAACAAGAATGTCACATTGTCCCGTGCCTTGGGAATGTCGCGCATCACAAACATCAGCAACTCCAGCATGATGAAGAATATGACGAAATGGCAAAATCAGGTCAAAGGAGTGGGCAACCTCTGTCACGCGCAGTCGAGGCAAAGCAGGCTCAATGACGGTGGTCAGACATGCCGCTCGAAACAGCGTGGGATTTTGCACCAAAAGCAAGGTTCCAATGGTACCCGGCATGAGAGTAAATGGTGGCTCAGGCAAGACAAGATGTACGTAGAGAGGAAGCGCAGGATTCACCAGGTCTTCCCACATAAAACGCATGTCTGCTTCCCATGCATTGATGTCTGAATCAAACCTGAGCGGCCTTCCTCTTTCTTGCCTGCGATTGGTAAGGTGGCAGATGTAGTAAGAATTCATGAAGAAAACTGGATCTCCATCCGCATCTTCTGGTGTGCCCTCTTCTTGCAGTCGTTGCCAAACTTGCTGTTGCCAGTAGGGTCTGTCAAGAAGATTTCTTCTGTCAGGAGCCTGTTGGTTCGTTCGATGAAGCGCATCATCTTGAGGTCCAGCTGGATCTGGTAATTGAGCAGCATCTGCAGGATTTGGCTTATATTTCAAAATGCCGGGAACGGTCACTGCAGAAAGATGCTGATTCGATGGCGGACAATACAAATCTGGATCGCCGAGGGCAAAGGAGACCTTTTTTACGCTGCCTCTCCTCACATACAATGTAGATGGAGACGGGAACTTTGACAGCATGGTCAACTGCCCCTCTGGTGCCATTTCAAACGCTAGCCCTCTAGCGGTTTCCCTGGCTTGCCATTCAGACTTGAAATTGTGCTCGTGGATGATGCTATGGGTCCATTTGAGAATTGAAGGGACATTGCCAAAAGCACTGTCAACAACCACCGGCCCTTGGCCACCATACATATCAGTCATGGTTGACCGGCCGCCCCAAAAGACTGCAATGCTTTTGAGGAAGCGCCAGCTCCATCGCGAGCATCGTTGGCACCCATGGTGGCATCCATTCGCTCTGGTGGTGCAAGACGAGGTCGTTTGAGAGAAGACTGCGCCTCTGCATGAATCTCCTCGGCTTTCTCCTGAAACTGCTGAAGGGAAGCTGTGAGGAACTGCATGCTCTCGGTGATCTTGTCCGATGTCACATGATTGGAAGGACAGTTGGGCTCGTCCTCTTCGTCCTTGATTTCGATCACATTTCCCACAACAGCTTTTGTGTCGTCGACCTCGGTCTTTGCAAGAGCAAATGCCTCCTGAGCTGCTTTGATTCGCTCCTGATGTTCGGCTTCTTGTGCCTGAAACAAGCTGGCATACTCTTTCCATGTGCTGACGGCATCTGTTAAGAAGGTTTTCCATGATGCCACCAAATTCGTTCTTGCTTGTAAGGCTGCTTCGAGCTCGTCCTTGGCATGTCCAAGCGCTTTTGCAGCTGATTCTAAATCTTGGTTTGCCTGTGCTCCATCCTTCTTTGCAATCTCTCGGACCTTCTGACTGACGTCCTTGGGAAGATCGGGCCCACGCTTCTTCAGGTAGGTCATCAATTCTTGCATCTTCCTCTCGCGCTCCTGCTGTTCGGGCGTCATGCTTGGTCCAGGAGGTGTTGCGGCTGGCGGAGGCATAGGCGGCGCAGCAGCATTGGTATTTGGCATGACCATTGCTGGCATCGATGGCATAGGCATCATCATAGCCGGGTTCATCATCTGGCCCATTGGAGCGTACCCAGGCCATGGCATAGGGGGCGGAGGCAGCGGAGCTGGAACTTCTGCTTTGCCCTTGCCCTTCTGTACTGGCGGTCCCTGTCCATGACCTTTGCCACGTCCTCGAGATTTGCCTCTCGGGGTGTTGGCGCCCTTGGGCTTGTTCTGCCGTTGGCGCGGTGATTGAACCCTTTGTCTTGGCGAATTGCTTCTCCATGACTGCCCCCATGGTTGGTCTTGTTGCTCCCAACTCTGGGCATACTTCTCTTCCTGTCCTTGACTCTGCCGCGGCTGATGGATGTACGTGTGGTCCATTACGGTTTGCCACGGTTGATTGCAGCAATAGGGAACATTGTGTTTCCGTAGCTGCCGACAATTGAGGCAACGCCAAGGAGCCGTAGTAGACATCGCAACGACGATCTTGTTGAGAAACTGCTGATCGCGGGAATGGTGCCGCCGTAAAATCCTGTGCACCCTCTGCAGTTGAAGAGGTCCTAAGAGGCTGATGCGCTTGCGGTGCAAGAACCAGAGCCGCCGAGCTTTGGCGCGCAGTCTTAGCTGCGCCCTCCGAAAGGTCGTTGAAGCCGTGGTCAAAATCCCACACGAAGGCAAACACAAAAATGGGGAAGGACAAGATCAGGAAGGTCCACCCCTGCCTCAAAGACATAAAACACCGCGACCAAAATGTCCCAAAAGGTCACGAGGAAGAGAATCGAAGAAGACAAGGATCACCAGCACTGAAGGCGAGAACAATGCAACAGCAAAGAATCGCCCGCGGGTATGGCGTCCCGCTTAGGTTTGGGATACGTGAGGGCACCCTTGTTACAGCTGTTGTAACCCTCAAGCCGAAACCTTGAGCCTGATGTAGAAACTATGATTCTATTTTCTGTATCCATAAAGTTCTCGCATGATGCCGCATGTACGTATATCCTTATATACAAACCTTTCTGTGCATATATGAAAATATATGTACATACATTTATCTAGACATTTATAGGGTTTTATATGACGGTACAAACAGCACAATTACTTTACTTCGTGTGATCCCCACCATGACATTTATACATTTTCTTACTGGCAAATCTTCTGGCATTCTATCTGACATATCTTCTGACATTCTATTTGGCATTCTATCTGGCATATCTTCTGGCATATGATCTGGCATATCTTCTGGATTCTATCTGGCAAATCTTCTGGCATTCTATCTGGCATATCTTCTGGCACTCTATCTGACATATCTTCTGGCATTCAATCTGGCATTCTATCTGGCATATCTTCTGGCATATATTCTGACATATCTTCTGGCATTCTATCTGACATATCTTCTAGCATATATTCTGACATATCTTCTGGCATATCTTCTGGCATTCTATCTGGCATTCTATCTGGCATATCTTCTGGCATTCTATCTGGCATATCTTCTGGCGTATGTTCTGGCATATCTTCTGGCATTCTATCTTGCATATCTTCTGGAATATCTTCTGGCATTCTATCTGGCATATCTTCTGGCATTCTATCTGGCATATCTTCTGGCATTCTATCTGACATTCTATCTGGCATATCTTCTGGCATTCTATCTGGCCGTTGAGGTCCAGCGGTGCACACTGAGCTGGGCAGGTCCCAGGTTGAGGTCCATATCTTCCTACATGAGGTCCGGCAGGGAACACTTGGCATGGATACTCGCGGTTGAGGTCCGGCAGGGAACACTGGGCGCGGATGGTCGTGGTTGAGGTCCGGCAGGGAACACTGGGCGGGATGGTCGTGGTTGAGGTCCGGCAGGGAACACTGGGCGTGGATGGTCGTGGTTGAGGTCCGGCAGGGAACACTGGGCGTGGATGGTCGTGGTTGAGGTCCGGCAGGGCACACTGACGTGGATGGTCGTGGTTGAGGTCCGGCAGGGCACACTGACATGGATCGCAGTGGAGCAGGAGGAGGACGAGGAGGACGAGGAGGAGGAGGAGGAGGAGAAGGAGGACGAGAAGAGGGAGGAGAAGGAGGAGGACGAGGACGAGGAGGACGAGGAGGACGAGGAGGACGAGGAGGACGAGGAGGAAGCAACTGACATAAAATCTAACAACCCACACCTGGCAGGTGGGGAAAAAACATACTTTGAACACCAGTGCAGACTCTGAAGACGGAGCCAGGGAAGTGTCAATCCACCAGGTCCGAAAGCAGCGACAGTCTCAAGTTGGACACTGGGGACATCTCCTCAGATGGCATGGAGTGATTGAGCCAAAATAATTACGATAAATGATTTGAATCTGTTTTGATTTGGTGCGCAAAATCTGTTGTGATGTCATGATTTTCCGGTCAGTGAACAGTACACATCAAAAAGACTGGACAAATTAAAAGCAAGGGCTGGAAACGCTGTTCCAGAGAGTGGTCCATGTCTTAGGTCAGTTGGCTGGTTTGGCACGAATGATGATGCCAATGAGCCATGATCAAGGTGTGGAACTCGGGGAAGATTTGTTGGATTGAAACCAGAGCCAAATCAAACAAATCTTCCTTCATCTTCTTTGTGTGTTTTCAGTTTCAAAGAGGAGGATAGCGATATCGTTTGATTGTTTTGATTGTCGCCTCAAACGACGGTCTCGTCAAGAGCAGGAGCTCGGGCAAGCATTCTCTTCCCAGACGGGTCAGGCTTGACGCTTTAATCTTTTCATATCTTTTCCACCAAATGTGTTGTCTCTGAGCGTCTCAGCTATTGTGAAACAGAAATTCGAACCGTGCACGGAAATCCAAACCTTCGCCAGCACTCTCTCAGTGTTGAGGTGGCCTTGGCTCAGCAAGGCGCTTATCTGAAGGCACAGAATTTGTGAACCAGGAGCTTCAATTGCCAGCCTTAGGGAAGCGAAGGCAAAGCGAAGGCAACCCAAAAGATCTGATTGCAATTTTCGAACTGTGTGTTTTCTCAGTCTTTCGAGAGATACTTTTGCAACCTTTGCACGCAAAGGGATGAGACAAATTCCTGAGTTTCTTCAAATCCAAGGTTACAAGGTTAGCTAGGTTAGACTACCTGCACCTGTATCCTTCTGCCACCGTGAAGAAGGGATTAGAATGAACTTTTCTTGAAGTACTGGTAAAATTTCGAAGAACGCTCTGCAAGTTGGCCAGATACTCATGTTCAGATTTTGGCAGTCTTTCAGCAAAACACAACGCTCTGAATTTGCGTGTGACCAGTCCGAAGCGGCCTAGGATGCAGCTAGATCGGCTAGGTCAATCCAATGAACTATCGGGGTATCTCTTGTCTTTTTCCAACGTCTAATGCCAATGATATCCGATTATACATACATGATCATACATGTAATTTACTTGCATGTATATATATATACACATACACATAATATATGATTTAACATAATTACATATATATATATATAGAAGAACAATCTTCAAGAGTCCTATTTTTCTGGTATATCTGGAGACAAGGTCTCCGTCCACCCCCCTGCTTCACAGACTTGCTCAGTACAATGTACATTCACAGTACCTGAAGTGCATTGCGTTTGTCCAAAATGGCTCCATGAACATTGAGAAACTTGACAGGCAAAAGTGAGGATCAAAATGAGGTCTCTTGCTAAGATTTGTTGAGTGCTTTCGAGATTTATATAGTCTTGTGCAAAATCTTAGTCGTACCGATGCCCAAAGCTGGTGCCATTTGAGGCTGATGCCCCGGATGAGTCAGGCGTTCTTGATTTTTTTTGCCACGAAGACAACCTCTTTCAGATGTTTCTTGTATCGCAAATGGTCTCAGTTGCTCATTTCCTTCTCAGGCGACTCACGACGGAAGCTTCCCGAGGCCCGAAGGGTGATCTCAAGGAAGTCGAAGTGTGCCACCATTGGAATCACCGGCAATGCAAAAAGTAACACAAGCAGAAGCAGTGAAGGACGTTGAAGGACGTTGAAGGACGTTGAAGGACGTTGAAAGGCTAAAAGAGAGACACGATAAGACAAGATGAGACAAGCGACAAAGAATATGGTCGTTGCAATTTTTCGATGTTTTCCAGAGAGCCTTTAGCGACAGCGAGCGCCGAGGTCTTTGGAATCCACGTCTCCAAATCTCCACACAGGACACAGATGGACAGATGGACACAAAGCTGGTCAGGTGGACACATTGTGCTCTGCACATGCTGTGAACACGCACACAGCCACACTGCACATGCGGTACATGCGGTACATGCGGTACATGCGGTACATGCGCGGAGTCAGTGAAGATATGCGAAGATGGGTGAATTTTGCTATTTCAGGACGATGCAGTGGCAAGAACCAGTCGCCACCTTGAAGCGCTTGCACCTAGATGTTGCCAACTCAGAATCCTTCAACCCTCGCAACATGTTGGCTCCGCCGGGGGGGTTTGCCCGGCTTGGAACAAGGTCGACTGTGACTACATGTGATGAGTATCCGCAGCCGTTTGTTGTTCTTGTAGTCATGGTGTTGATTTTACTGTGTTTTTTCATATAAAATGTGGTTGTTCACAAGTAGACTTCATATCATGTTTTCAGATGCAATTGATCATTGAATGTTTTGACAATGTCCAAACTTGAGTTTTTTTCGCCAAATCTGGCGGAAAAATCAACAATCACCTGTAATTTACAGCGTTTCCATTTGACACGATTTGCATACATATATAGACAGACATGAAGTATACATACATATATATATATATCACATACACCAGAAGTAAACAGAAAGAGTCAGACAGAAAGGAGACACATGGTAAGAAGAAATACATTGAACCCAATCAAGATGAGGAAACGATGGACAATCAAACATGACACTGCGATTGCGTGATACGTTTGCACATGACACACCAGCAGTGTACCATGTGTACACATGAACACCAACGTTGACACACCCCACCCCACCCCACCCCACGTACCATGTGTACACATCAACACACCAGCAGCGTACCATGTGTACACATGAACGCCAACGTTGACACACCCCACCCCACCCCACGTACCATGTGTACACATCAACACACCAGCAGCGTACCATGTGTACACATGAACACCAACAATGACACACCCCGCCCCACCCCACCTCACCCCACCCCACGTACCATGTGTACACATCAACACACCAGCAGCGTACCATGTGTACACATGAACACCAACGTTGACACACCTCACCCCACCCCACCCCACCCCACCCCACCCCACCCCACCCCACATGTTAAAATTCCGGGCAAACCCCCCCGGTAGACCCAACATGTTGCAACTTAATTGGTTATCAGATGCTATCAGCATTGCTGTTGGCATCTCCTCATCTCGAGGTTGCAGCCAGATTGGGCTTGGATGCAGAAGCCGGCGATTGGGATCCAGGTCGCTGCAAACAGAAGGTACAGATAGACTCAGATAGATACAGAATATGCGGTGAATGTCCGTTGGAGTCATGGAATTGCATCAACTTGGTAGGGTCGTGGATTAAGATTTGACCTGTCCAGCATTGCTTCTTTGGTGAAGCAACACAAAAGGATGTCTTTTCATGGTTTTATTTTGTTTGATTTGGCTTAATCGTGATCATTCGACAGGGTTGCCCATGGAAGCCCTTTGCGAGTTTCACCTCGCTGTGTGGATCCGTGCAGATCAAACCTACCAGATGAGCATCGCCAAGTTTGAAGAGTTGGCGGAGCAAAAACTGCTGAGAAGACAACAGAAAGCAGCTATCTGGATCCAAGCCAGGCAGGGCGGCAGGGCAGGGCGGCAGGGCCGCACTTCTTGGCTTTGTATGGCTTTGTGCACTTTGTGCACTTTGTGCATGTGCCAGGTGGCGTAGCCAACGGATTCGCCGGCCACTGCGCCAGGTGCAGTTGGATCTTCGCCACACCGTTTTTCCATGTCTTTCCATGTCTTTCCGTTTGTCTTATTGTTTTAAATCCATTTGTCCGTTACGCCGTTTTATTTCATTCTTTGATATCCTTTCATATCCTTTCATATCCTTTCATATCCTTTCATATCCTTTCATCAATTTCATCTATTCAACAGCCTTCGGCATGCCGCCGGCCCTCTGGCCTTTGGCCTGAAGGTCCAAAGCAGGGGTTGTGTAAAGCTGGTTGGTGTCAAAGGTTGGTTTGATGATGATGATGATGATGAGGCTGATGATGAGGCTGATGACGATGGCGATGAGGAGGAGGAGGAGGAGGAGGAGGATGATGATGATGACCACCGAGACGAGGATGATGTGATGATGTGAATAAGGTGAGTGCCAGTTCGCTTGAGAAAAGAGATGAGACGCGACTAGACCAGACGAAACTAGGCTATACTAGACTATTAGGAGGGCTATTTATTTTTGGCCTTTTTTTTGGTGGCAGGTTTTGGAATTATTTTTGGGTTCCTGGTTCTATGCTTTCCTGCTTCTCTGCTTTTTGCTTTTCCTGCTTCTCTGCTTGTCTGCTTCTCTGCTTCTTTTCTTTTCTGCTTCTTTGCTTTCCCTGCTTCTCTGCTCTTCTGCTTTTGTGCTTTACCTGCTTCTTTTCTTTTCTGCTTCACTGCTTTCCCTGCTTCTCTGCTTTTCTGCTTTTGTGCTTCTGTGCCTTTCTACTTCTACTATTCTACCTTTTCTTTTCTTCAGGCATGTGTTTTGGTTGCTTTACTTCCTGCTCCTCTGCTTGTCTGCTTCCTGTCTTTACTGCCTCTTTGATTTTTTCTTTTCTTTTGCTTTACCGACCCTCTCCTGTTTGCAAACACCCTAGGTGAAACCCAAAGAAACCTTAAAAAATCCTGATAAGAACTCCTGATAACAAACCCTACGTGAAACCCTAAATGAACCCTAAAGAAACCATAAATTAACCCTAAATGAAACCCTAAAGAAACTCTTAATGAAACCCTAAATGACATCCTAAATAAACAGAAGAAATAATTGGGACAAATGCCCACTAAACTCCCTTCCCGCCATCTGGTTGTAAAGTTCAGCATTCAATGACCATTTTGGCTCAAGGTTTCAGGTAAAAGGGTGCCCCCGCAGCTTGTCTTACTGGCCCCCTGTTTTACCTTTATTGCCTAAATCATTGGGTTACCAGCCGTAGGCTCTCATTGGGTTTATACCTACTTCCACTTTCACTTTCATATATACTTTGGATATTTCCTATCTCCCTTCACCGACGCCATAGTCTGGGAACTTTGGCACCACGCCGCGCACACCTGGCGATCCGCGTGGAGGAACTTCGGAACGAAGCATCCGGTCCGGTGTGCAGGCACCAGGCATTCTGTTTGTCGCCAAGATTTGCAAACGTTTTCGGTTAGACAAACAGAAGGGCATGTCGCTTTCGCAACAGCATCTTATTTCCTTGAAGCCGCAGGGGTCTGAGGTAAGAGACTTAGAGATTTTCAGGGACAGGGTTGAATTCATTCTGAGTAGCCTTGAAACATCCGAAGACCCAGCTGAACCCATTCTGCGAACTTGGATTTATGATTGCCTAAAGAATATTCCCAAACTCAGTTTGCGAATTGACAAATACCGGGATGCTCAGGTAGGGTCATTTGAGAGGTCGTTTCAGTTTTTGTGGCAGTCCATGTCTGATGTAATCGATGAAGCTCAACATGACCAGAATACAACTTCTGTGCTGTCAACATTGCGTGCAAAAGTAGATGCAGCGCCGCACAACGCAAATCCAAAGGAAAAGAAAGAAGAAAGAAAAAGACAAAAAGGACAAAAAGGACAAGGATAAGAAGGAGAAAGACAGCGGGAATCCCACTGTTTCAGCAACAACCTTTAACCCGAAGGCCAAGCCCGAGGCAAAGGGGAAAGCAGACCCAAAGGCCAAGCCTAAGTCTGACTCAAAGGGAAAGGAGAAATCCAATAACCCCAAAATTGTTGCTGGTGAAAAGGGATATCCATGTTTGTTTTATCCTTCAGGGACATGCAGGCGGGACCCATGCCCGTATGTGCATGATGCAGCCAGCGCGCCAAAAGCAAAGGCGAAGCCAAAAGCTAGCGCACCATCGACCAGTGTTCCCGCGGCTTTTGCCGTAGCTGCCAGTTTGCCCAAGGCCAGTGCTAGGTTATTCCCAAGGTTTTTCCAAGCATTTGCAGCTGCGACGTCACTGTTGTCGTCAGGTGGTTTGTTGCACGAGCCTGATCCACTCCATGTTCGCAATGGTGTGAGTTCAAGTTCAGGACTTACGTTGCCAAGCGACTGCGTGCCCACCATGCCACGCCCCCTGGTCGATGCCAGTCAGCTTGAGAAGCCAAGCTCCGATGCAGTTCCCTTATCGGTATTTGATGCCAACCAGGGATCGACTGGTACTGTGACATGGCTAGGGGACACTGGTGCCGGTAGAACTATTGGATGCATCAAGCATGTACCCACAGATGTTGTCAGAGAGACGGGCAATCCAGTCAGCTTTGCAACTGGTGGGGGCAAACGGGATGGAAATGTTTCGTGCCAGGTCCAGGGAGAATTTACTGGGAACACTGAGTGTTATTTGTTAGAGCAAAGCCCATGGGCACTCTCAATCGGCGAACAGGTGAGCAAAGGCAAGGCCTTTGTGTGGTTGCCATGCTCTTCCTCAACCAGTGAGCATCCAATGACAGTCTCAAAGCCGTTCTTTGTTCGCGAAAGCGATATTGACCAGCTGCAAGTGATTTGTCCAGAGACTGTTCGGAAATATGCAGATGAAGTAAGGGAGAATGTGCCTCTGTCCAGGGAACATGTCAGCATCGCCCATTTACCTGCACGCGTCACTGCAAGGGGAGATGTAGTTGAACCATCTTGCTTGCCAGGTAATAGCCAAGTGCCTGAGGTTGGTGCAGAGGCACCAAACAGCTTTCCAGTTCTTCCAGGAGAAGAACCTGATGAATACGAACCAAGCATAGCCCCAGATGATGGTCACAAAGGAGATGACTCCGAAGCACCTGCCTGCAGAGTTCCGGTAGAAGAAGGTGGTCATCCACCGCTAGAGCATCATATTCTCCACCTTCCAAAGCGTCATGATTGCCCAGTCTGCCAAGAAGCGAAGCAAGATGCCTTGCCAGCGAGAAAGGTGAAGGGTAAGCATGTCATGTCAGACGGTCGTCCAAGTGAAAAGTTTGGCGACCGAATCCATGCAGATCACATCATCGTTTCCAAGGATCGCCTCAGCAGTGAACAGAAAGGGGTAAATGGCGAAGCTGTGTGCCTAATCCTTTTTGATGATTTCACTCAAGCAGTAGGAGCGTACCCTGCCAGTTCAAACAACACTGACAATTGCATTCGGGCCTGTAACCATTTCCTAGGTAGTAGATCAGCTAACGAATTGCATTCTGATAACGCGCCAGAGCTTGAAGCCTGTGCTGCGAAACTTGGACTTGTGCCGGACCTTGCCGTCCCATATCGCAAAACCTCATTGATCAATCGCAAGATTCGAACATGGGAGGATTGCGTGGGATGCTGTCTGGTTCGGGTTGGGAACAGAAATGCGCTGTGGCCTTTCGCAGTTCAATATGCTGCAGCCGCAATGACTTTCGAAGTTTGGAGTGCGATTCACAAACACGAGTTCACTGGTCTCAAGTATCCATTTGGTGCTTTGATTCACTACAGGCCCAATTTGCGAAAGTCCAAGCCAGGTCCCAAGACAAGACCAGGTTTGTTTTTGGGTTGGCGGGTTGATGCAGGGGTGAACTGGAAAGGAGTGTACAAGATTGTAGATCTAGAAGTTGTCCGTTCATGGATTTCTGGCAAAGGATCCTTGTCCACAACGACATCCATGACTGTTGTGTCACACAAAGAAGGAAGTTATTTTCCATTGAGGGGAGCAGTCCAAAAGCAACTTGAGCAGTTGGAAGACTTGCCGCGTTTGTTTGCAGACTCCACGATCGAGGAGGATATCAAGGCAATTGACGATCCAGGTGTTTCCGAAGAAGAGGCAGAAGAGGATGAGCCTAGAAAACGCCACGAGAAGATCACTCTTGAAAGGTTTATCGATCATGGGCCAAGCCCAGGTTGCACAGCTTGCTCTGAGGGTTTAGACAATCATACCCCCGCTTGCAGACAGCGCTTCGATGAACTGATTAGGAAAACCAAATTTGATTTGCCAGATGGAATTCCTCGTGATAGAGACTCATGGAAAATTGAAGGAAGCAAGTTGATTAGATATCACTGTATCAAAAGAAAGCGTTTGTTTGCCCCAACCAAAACCTATGAACTTCCAGTTCCTAGGGCGAGGATCGGAAAGAGGATTACTCAGATTCAATTTGTTGATGGGGGAGAAGTTGAAATCATTCCTTCTGAGGAGTGGCGAGGCAACACCAAAGCTCTTCGAGGCTTTTGGACCGGAATTTCAACTTTCGACATCCTAGAGGAAGGCGATGCTGTTCCTGCAGAAGTGCATGATGTGCGGCGTGACCTTTCCAGTCGCAGAACCAAAGTTTTGCATCAACAAAATTTGCCTGGCTATGGGATCTTTATTGAGTGCTGTTGTGATCCAAACTCTGGCCTTGGGAATGTGTCAGAACAAATAGGGCTATCGCACATTAGATTGAGCGAGAAATGGGGCAACATCAGTGACAAACAAGTCATAGACCAGTTACATGAGAAGCTGCGCGAGCCTGAAATGCGAGGCCTCGATTTGTGGGCTTCACTGCCTTGCAAACCTTGGACTTCATGGCAGCGCATGAACATTCATCGATACGGCGCGTCATACCTCAGAAAGCTACTTAGAAGACAATTAGAAAGCAGAAAGATGTTAAAGACTTTCATCGAATTTGCTGAGATTGTTTTAGCTCAAGGCGGCCGTGTCCATTTCGAATGGCCTTCTCACTGCCAAGGATGGAGATTGGTAGAACTCCAAGATTTCTGCAACAGACACCAGCTCCACTTGGCTAAATGTAACGCGTGTGCATTTGGCGGTGAGCATTTTAAACCTTGGACAATTGTAACTTCAAGTGAAGACTTGGCAGGCATGCTTAGGAATCACACGTGCCAGCATGAACCTTCGTTTAAGCATGTTCCGCGCGAGGGGGGCAAAGCTGAGAAGTCTGCATTGTACCCGCCAAAAATGTGCGAAGCCGTTGTTGCGCAGCTGTTTCCAAAGAAATTTCACCAAGCTGTACCGTCTATGCCGGTTGTTCCAACAACCCCTCAAGCCCATGTGCAAAATGAAATCTCACCAAAGGATGTCCATGAGATTCCATTGTCAATCCATGAGGTCATAAGCAGGAGGGACTGGATCAACGATCCTGCAGCACTTGCAGAAGTAAAGAAGGAGGCCGATGGTCTCGTGAAAGCAGGAACGTGGACATACGATCGAGTTGTTCCAAGATCTCAACTTGAAGCCGAGTCACGCGCCTCAGGAAAGGAGATTGCGATAGGTCAGCTGCTGACGCTAGTTTCTTGGAAAAATGCTGAATCCAAAAGTTTGCGAAAGTTAAAAGCAAGAATTTGCTTCAGAGGAGATAATGTCAGGGATGCCTTCGGACAGTACGCTGAATTTCAAGAAATCAAGGTTGTTCCCACCACGATTTCGGGCTTGAACATGAATTTGGCTTACGGAATGAAGAGGGGTAATAAATCCACCCAAAGTGACATCATCAAAGCCTACATACAGTCTGACCTGAAAGCATTAGTTGATACGTATGTAGAACTTCCTCCGGAATTAACACCTCCAGAGTTCAAACACATCTATCGACCATGCACTAGGCTTTATAAGGCATTATACGGACATCCTGAATCTGGAGGACATTGGTCCAACAGATTCAAACAGGTGATGAGTTTGCTCGGAGGTAAAGAATCAAGCCTCTACCCGAGCAATTTTTACATCGAGCAGTGGAAATTGTGGCTAACCCTTTACGTGGATGATATGGTGCTATCAGGGCCATCAGAGAATCACGAGATCTTCTGGAAGGCTCTCTCTACACATCTGAATTTCGAAGAGCCGGGCCCTGTCAGTCGTGTGTTGGGTAGGTCGCATGAATTCCTTGGTGACACCATCATCTTCAACATGGACGATTTTGCTGAGGCAGCGTGCCAACTTTACAAAGATGTAACTGGAACCAAGAACTTCAAACCTGCAGCCACACCATACCTCGATGAATCCACTTTGCCAATCGACGATTGGGAAACCAAAGGGCAGTTGAGCAATGTGGCAGCCAAAGTGATTATGAAAGGGTACTGGCTCGCACGTCTCTCGCGCCCAGACCTGCTCCATTCCATTCTTTAAATGAGTTGAGCCGTCAAATCACTCGTTGGTCCCTACATGACGATAGGAGATTGTTCCGCGTGTTTTGTTATCTCAACTCCACAAAGCGGTAAAGGATGAGATGCAGACTGGACCCGGATGCACCGTGGGAGCTTTGGCTTTTCACAGATGCTGACCATGCTTCAAAAGTAGATCATGGCTACTCAACGTCAGGCTCAATACTGGTTATTGCTGGAGGAAAGTCGTACTTTCCGATAGCGTTCCAATCTAAACGCCAGACTGCATGCAGCAGATCGACGACGGAAGCTGAGGCGATTTCACTCGCAGCAGCATTGTTTGGTGATGCCATCCCTGCTCAGGAACATTTAGCCTCTGTATTGAAGGCTCAAGTGCCTATGACCTGTCAGCAGGACAACACAGCTACCATACAAGTCATCAACAATGGGTTTTCGGCAAAACTCCGTCATTTGGGCAAAACCCACAAAATAAATATCAATGGGTTATATGCCATTTTTCGACTAGAAGAAGACGTTGCTTTGCAGCATTGTCCAACAGACATGCAGTCGGCAGACATCTTCACGAAGAATGTCGAAGCCCACAAATGGAGTCATGCCCTGTGAATGGTTGGCATTGTGCCAGATTAGTTAGAACAACTGAAGCGGTAGTATCGAGTGCTGCGATTTCGCGCCTGATTGTCACCGTTGGTTGTATTTTGTAACTAGATGTTGTTGGTTTCTATCCCCCAGTAAGAATGAACACATCAGTAGTGCTTCTAGTTGTTCGATTTTGAGTGCTGCATCTCAACGCGCCTCACCCCAGTAGTGTGTGCTGCAGTTTTGTAACACCCAAAGACGAAACCAACACCGAAGTTACAAGCGAAGTGAGCACGCTGCAGACAGTCTGCAGTATGGTGAGCCATTTTGGCTGCTCCTTTTGCTTCTCTCCAAGTGAATGTACAGCATTTACTTCCCTCCATATGAGTAAATCCGAGTAATCACCTCTTTGCCTGGTGGAGCGGATCACGCACCCAAAGATAACGATCCAAACATCAGAGCATTAGGTTGCATGCCATCCATATCCTAATTACGAATGTAGCACAGTACTTAAGCTGACTTTCACCAATGTGATTGCGCTTACTTTGCCATCTGGTCTTTTGTTTGCTGTAGCTAGAGTTTTTGGCCATCGCTATCAGGTGCGCAACTGTTAGCTGGCTAGCTCCCAGATGGTGTACAGCGAGAGGGGGCCCACTAAACTCCCTTCCCGCCATCTGGTTGTAAAGCTCAGCATTCAATGACCATTTTGGCTCAAGGTTTCAGGTAAAAGGGTGCCCCCGCAGCTTGTCTTACTGGCCCCCTGTTTTACCTTTATTGCCTAAATCATTGTAAACCCTAAACGACACTCTAAAAAACCCTAAATGAAATCCAAAAGAAACCCTAAACGAAACTCTAAAGAAACCCGAAACCTAAAGAAACCCTAAATGAAACCTGAAATGAAACCCTAAATGAAACCCTAAAGAAACCTTAAAGAAACCCTAAATGAAACCCCAAACAAAGCCCTAGAAAAACCCTAAACGAAACCCTACATGAAACCCTAAAGAAACCCTGAATGAAACCCTAAATGAAACCCCAAAGAACTCTCAAGAAACCAACATGAACGTTTGAAGTGCCAAAATATAGCAAATACCATGCAAATGAGAGGTTGAAGTACCACAACGTGGCAAATACCATGCAAAAATTCAAGGCAAACATTGCCAATATGTAGCAAATACCATGCAAAATGACAGATTCTAGTTCCAAACTGTTGCAAATACAAGGCAGATGGTACCAGGACAGAAAACCAAAAAACTCCAAAACCTGAGCCAAAAAAAATCCAAAAGCTATTCTGCACCCCTAGACTGTATTAGAGTAAAGTCTGTATGTTGGGGGGATGGGGGGGAGGGTAGGGCAGCCGAAGCAAAAATCTGTCGAAGAGATGATGTCAGGCATAGCTATAGCAATAGCTACAACTGGATCTCAACCTATACCTACAGCTATGGGTACAAGTAGATCTCAGCCTAAGCTATAGCTAGAGCTAGAACAAGATTTCAACCTAAAGCTTGACCAAGATCACGCCATTGCAGGAACTAGGGCTAGGGTAAATCTAAAGCTTGAATAAGAGCAAGGTACTGCTGTAGCTAGGACTAGAACTCGAATTCAAACTAGAACAAAATCAAACTAAAACTCTAGTTGGAACTAGAATTCAATCTCAAACCAGAACAAGTTAAAACTAGGGAGAAGAAGCTGAAGAAGAAGTTAAAGTTATAACACAAGCTAAACCAGGAGATATTGTAGAACTGGGACTCAACCGAAAGTGTACCAAGCCTCAACCGAAAGGCTATACCCAGCCGGAGCAATGCAAGCAAAGCAAAAGTCCGCGCAGAAACAATCTATAGATGAAGCTAAAGCTATCACAAGATGTATCACAGCTGGCAGGCCGGCGGATTTTTATCTAAGATTTCATCCATACCATCGATTTTCAACACCCCCCTTTCGTCCTTTTTGCCAACTTTTCCAAAACATTTGAGAGGTCATTTACAAGCGATTGGAAGCTCGGCACAAGATCCGGGCCTGGATCCGCAAGGTTCTTCGAAGGCATCAAAGCCGCAAAGTGGTGAAGTCGCTTCAAAAGTCCTTCTTTTTTAAAGATCCAAAATATCCGAATCACGTAGCACGGTGTCTTTTCTGCAAACCAAGCCACCTGAACTCAGAGGAAATGGACTGTTGCTCCTTCCCAAACGTGAACAAGAGACACTGTGAAATGGGCTGCTTGTTTTTGGAATCTTGAACACTTGGCAGGAAGAAAATTGCTGTCAGCAGCTCAGCTTTTGCCGTGAACAGCTTTCCAGCTTTCCATTTTTTTTTGCAAGCCGTCCATTCGATTTGCAGGACAAAATGGTGCATTTGCGCATGTGCATTATCAGCACCATCAAGATACAGGCGGCACAAGGGACTACAGATGACTACAGTGAAAACGCTGCAGCATATATACGGACATATGCAGAACGTGAATTTCCTTTGGTTTAGTTGGGAGTGACTTGCTGATAGGCCAACGTGAGGCGTTGGTTGGTCAAGAAGGAGATGGGCTCCGCCGTAGCCTTCCATCAGGTGCTGCAGGTTTTACTACACTTACTACACATGGTTCCAAGGAAGACAAGGGAAATCAAAGGGAAATCAACATGAAGTCAGCACGACATCAACTTGAAACATATTGAAACATATTTTTTTCATCACGTGGCAAGTCAACAGCCAAGAGATGAAATGGCAAGGTGCAGTTTCGCATGGCTGCCCTTCAAGAAAGGCTCTACCCCGCTGAGGACATCCAAACGATTGGTGAATAAGGTCTGACCGCATCAAATGTGTTCCAAAGGAAGAAGCGAACCGAGGTAAGACCTCAGAAATTAAGAAAAACTAAGAAAAAACAAGGAAAATGAAAGACTGGTGGGAAAGAATCTAGTGGATCAAGAGTTAATCAATTAAGGTTGTTTGTCATTTGAAATCGTTGTGAATCGTTGTGAAGTCCGAAGGAAAGAGAACGTGACCGTGAAGCCAATGAGAGGTTGATGATGAGCGAGGAGGAGGCACGGTAGATTAGTAGATGACCATAAAAGTGTGGACGAAAACATGGCATGAAAGGCATAAGACGGGAAAATTGGTCAAACACAGTGTGGATCCTGCTGAGTCTATGTAATGATAGGCAACATGATCGACATGATCGACATGATCGACATGATCGACCTGATCGACATGTGCTTTGAATATTTTGCAAAGAATCATATGGACGAATATAGACACATTATAGACACGTTATGGACACATTGTGTCCTGGGAAGGGACGAACACAAGTTGCAGATGGCCACTGCCACGTTTACTTTGTCCATCCTCCGCCAGGAGCTGTCCCAGCGAGCTGAGAGCGCAAGGAGAAAGCACGAGGCCGTTCTCCAAGCCTTGTAGAAAATTCCTAGTACACCAAAGCGAGAACGATGGACGCCACTAAGAAAGTACCGATTCAAACATTGTCAATGGAAAAAAGTGAAAAAGCATGAAAAAGCAAACGGAAAACTGGCTACTACTGTACATGAAAAGCGTTGTGTGGGGGCCCTCCCCTGGGAATCTGAAATGGCATTTTCACATTGAGCATTGCAAGTACTTGCAACGAAGTTTGAATTCAAGATGGCCTGGGTCCATGCTCCTAGATGACCTGGGAAACAATATAGGAAACGCGCAATCATAGAGTGGAAGCTTTTAAACGGCTACAGTACCATCAAATGTGTAATTCTGAAGCTGAAGCGGTTTCGTTGACATGACAGAACTCTTGTTCTCATGTTGGGCCCTTCTCGCAACACTATTTACAGATATCAGATGCTACTTATACAGTGTACACACAATATTCTTAAATGAAGTTTCACGGGTGTGTCTATCCTTGTACTCCCTAGCGTTTCTACTCTGTTTCTACTCTTCAACATTGGTCTCAAGTCTGTAGCTTTCCCGGTGAGGCAGACCGACAAAGGGCAGTCGCTGTGCTGCAGCCCGCCGTTCGGCGCTGGCTCTCACGGGTCAAATGTTGGCGACTCCTTCAGGACAAAATCCTTGGCGCTACCCGATGCCTTTAGATAGCTCTAGAATCTAGAAATCTCTAGATATAAAGGTTCTGGATCCCAACGTGTGCATCATGCCGGATGTGACTAAGTATGGAGATCTACCAAGAGCTGAGGAGCGTGAGAAAGAGCTGAACGAGAACAAACGCTACCGCAGATTTCGTGATAGAGATGATGATGAGTGCAGAGCTGAGAGATGAGGATCTTCACAAGTGATCTTCTCTGAAATTTGTGAGAAGATTCTCTTTGCAACACCAAAAGATCACTTTGCCTCAGGTATCGGCCTCTCTCACGTCGCCGACCCAGCAAGAAAAAGATCCAGTTTTACATTGCAACATGTTTGTCTGTTTGTCGGGAAATGCTAAGTTGCATTTTAACGTGTGTTGCTTGTGGGAGCGACATGTGTACATCTTTCTTAGTAATGGTCGCAAGTTGTCACATGCCAAAGAAACGGCGGATCTTCGCAAGCCGTGCTAGCCCTGTTTTGCATTTTTTTCCACATTTTTTCCTTGTTCTGTGTACCTGTTGGCCATTCTGGGCATTGACTTGACAACTGAAAGATCAAATGTCCCTACCTGGACTCCACTCTGTTGTACTGCGCGAGTTTCGCATCCAATCTCTGAGTGCGCTATCCGCAAAGGATTTGATTTTGCATAGCTAATTTCGCGATTTTATTTCATGAATGAAAGAACACAGTGATGTGTTTTTTTGTCTTACTGTTTGTTTGCTTGGTTGCTTGGTTGCTTGGTTGCTTGTTTGCTTGCTTGCTTGCTTGGTTGTTTGTTTGTTTGTTTGTTTGTTTGTTCCTCCGTTCATGTGAAGAATCCACTTTTCTCCCACTCGTCATGCCAAGTACTTTGATGTACTTTGGCTCAAGGCTCAAGCACGCAAGACTTTGGTCGTTGCAGAGTGAAAACACTTTGTGCTGTTACAGGAAGGTGAGTCTACTTTAGGGTAGATAGTCACTTTGTTTGCACAATAGTGTCAGAGCCTGCTACTTTCGCATGTTCAGGTGTTATCGCTTGCTGTTATATTTTATACAAATCTACATGTAGTCCAACGTTCATGTTTCCTTGCTTGGTATCCTAGATCCTTCCCCATTGAAATTGATCACTTCCAAATTGGCAAAACCCTTTGCTGTGCAAAACACTTAATTTGCCCTTCAAATTCGCCGAAAAACCATTTAAACCAGGCTCAACCTTTGCTTCGGGACCAAGGACTTGCAAACCCGGGTGTCGCATGGAATTGCCAGCATAGACAAAGACCAACCAAGTGATATTGAATGCCTGCAATACGAACAGACTAATCAAAATGCAAGGCGGAGTGTTTGTTGAATGACTCTTGTGCGCCAGCGAAAAACAGTCCTAAAACTTGAGACAGTGAAACAAGTTTGGAAATGTCGCATATGAAGCCATATGACAGATGCGGCAGATGCAGAGCAGATGCAGATCTGGAGCTCTTGTGAGGAGTGGAATTGGGAGTGTCTTGGAGCCTGCTGGAGTCAAGAAGGTCCGGTCTGCCGATTTTGCACTTTTAAAATCTTTTTATACCAAGACTTGTTGTCTCATTGTGACAATGTGCTGGAGTCTTGGGAGTCTCGAGAGGATTGTGGCAACCAGGCAATTTTCCTCGTCCAGTTTCCTGTTGGAACTCTTTTGCAATGCCGCACTGCACCGTTTTATGAAAGTTTGTGTCTTTGAGCAGTCGACAGAAGGTTGGGAGTGGCGGCGATGGAGACTTTGCAAGGCCAAATCTCATGGCAAGCAGATATATATTTAATTTTATCTTAATTTTTATCTTAATTTTATCTATTTTTTTTTTGTGGCAAAAATGTGACTCATAGGGTTTAGTCTCAGATATTGGAAGCAGCGTTCGAAGAAACTCAGTCATGTCGACAAGGTGTAATACCAAATGGATACGCATACATATATTTATATACATGACACAGCAGTGTTGCCTCGCATTACTGTTGGTGGCAGTTCTTCCAAACTTTGTGTTGCATGCATTTTTGAGAGTGTTATTTTTGTTTACAAAAGGTTTTGCTCAGATGTTTCTTGAAAAATGCAGTGTCAAATCGTCAAACCACAAGAGCCAACAGTGGCTGGCTCCAGGAGTCTTGGAAGTCAGGCGGGCGAGGCCTAGCCGCCCACCTAGCCACCTAGCCACCTAGCCGGTGCTTGGAACTTGTCATAACTTTGTAACACACTTTGTAACATTGTCAGTGGATTCAATGGAGTGGTGTCAGGGTCATCCTGGAGTTCCTGGGCCCAGTTTCTGGCATGGCCCTTCGGTCGGCCATCCAAGTCTTGCTCAACACACATTCAACCCGCAAAACGCGTAGATGTGCCACATTTGAGATACACATCGCGTCGAGACCAAGTTGAGAGGGTTGAAGTTCAATTTGAACTTCAATTTTGAATATTCACATTATTCACCACTTTGCAGACTTTGCAGTGCTGAGGGCAAAGCTCTTCTGGCGCTGGAGGCGCTGAACTTTGCGATGACGGTGACCGAGGCTGTTCCTGCCGTGATTTTCGACGCAGGTCATTAACGCCACAGTGGCGGAGCATCGTTCTTCTGGTTCTCAGGCCGAGGGCTGTGCACATGCTGTGCTCACATTGTCACTGAGCACATGCAATTTGCACAGTTTCGCTGTCAACAGACAATTCTTCGTGCAGTTCGTGCAATTTGTAAACTGCACGTGTGTCTCTCCATGTTATGCTTTTCAGAGCCTTTGTCATTACGGCTACCCCACAACCTGCTCTTCCGAAATCTTCCGAAGGCACGGGGCTTCCGGGCACGCGCTTACCGGACACGTGCGAGTTCAATTGCACTTCCACCTGCACCTCCAGGCGCGAAGTTGATCGAAGTTGAGCCGTTCCATGTTGGACAGCTCTGAACTGTGGAGTTGCCGTTACAACATGTGTCACGACATGTGTCACGACATGTCTCACGACATGCCGGCGATGCAGTGTTTTGCCACGTTTCTGTTCAGGTTTCCGGTCGGACATTGCGGGGGCTCGTGGCGGACCAAAAAGAGGCGGCGAACCAACACTGAACAATTGCGAACATGAGATAGATCGAGAATGATCGAGATAGCATGACTGAACATACTGAACTGAGTGAACATTTGAATTTCCACTGCTGGCTTTGTCGAACTTGAGCTGAGAATGAGTGGATCCACTGCCAGGCACTCCTCGACTTGTTTCAGTGCCTCCGCCTGTGGGTCGAAAGGTCAAAGAAACCAGGCACTGCTTTCAAGTATTTTCCGGTCTTTTGTCAAGTCTTTTGTCGAGTTTTTGTCAAAGTGTACTCAGAAGTGTACTCAGATGTGCATTTTGAATCTGCGACTGTTGGTGTGCTGCTTTGCACTGCTTTGCGCTGCTCTTTCCTTGAAAGACTCGCAGGTCCTCTGCTGAAGACTGAGTTTCACCTCCATGAGCGGAAAAACCGCTGAAGGAGTTTGTACATAGAAATACATAAAAATACATTCTGAATGTATCGTTTTGTTCATTCAGAATGTTTTGTTCTGACGTTGTCACGCGGTACATCAAACAGATTCAAACAGTCAGTGGTAAAGCAAAGCATTGAGCAGCCGAAGAGGTCGAGCTGTTGAGCCTCAGAGCAGAGTTGTCGAAGTTGTCGAAAGTTGTTCTCCTGACAGATGCTCACCTTTGGATCGCAAGCTCGCAACGCACAGATGGCGTGCCCCGAAATTTCTGCAGGGACTTTCAATGACGTCCACAGCTATTTTGCATGAAATCACTGATATCACTGTTCATATCTCTTCATGAAATCTCTTCATCAAATCTGTTCATGAGTCTGCTGTCATGGCAGGTACAACAATTCTTTTGTGCACTTCGCCTCTGTTGTGGATGGATCTCGAAAGAACGTCAAGCTTGCAAAGATTGCAACTTGGACATGGCAGGTCTTTCAGGTCCACGACAGTGGGAAACGCAGATGTACGACATTTTTTTGTTTCATTTTGTTTCGAGTGTGTCGAGCTTCGGTGGAGTTTCGGTGGAGTTTCGGTGGAAGTGACCGGTTTGAGCCATCGCAGAGCCATCGCCAGGTGCCACTGAACCGTGTCCGCGACGTTTGGGGCGTGGGCGCAGAGGCGGGGCGCCATTTCGTACTCCACGGAATATGTCATATTGCTCCATATTGCTCCATATTGCTCCATATTGCTCCATATTACTCTTAAGTTATTTTGTCATATTTACATCATATTTACATAAGTTACATAAGTATACATAAGTTACATCAGTTGCATCAGGTATCATTTGTTCCTGTTATTTATATAGACATGTGACGCTGCCAAATACTTAATTTCATCATATCATTCACTACATTGCTTTTGGACACTGCACTTCAGACGAGGCTCTGCTGGTGCGAAATTTCCTTAGCGTCTCAATCTGAGTTGTCAACGCGGTGTCAGCAAATAGAGAGGTTGTGAGCTATTCAGTTACTCGATATGCTCCCGAATGCTCCTGACATCCTTTCCCACAATTTCCGACATCCTTTTTGACATCTTCGAGCTCCGGCTTATGTTGGGTTGAGGTGTTTAGTGTGAGGAGCTTCTCACCGTGGTTAAGGAATCCGGTTCTGAAGTTTCATTGAAGCTTGCATGCCTTGGTCTGGCATTGCATATCATGACTCTAATCAACTCTGTTTGTTTCCTTCGTCTTTCTGAATTTTGCCCTTCACCAATCGAAATCACATAACCTCACCTAGTTTGTCAATTGGTTGACAAACGCGCCACACATTTTTTCACTTCTGAATCTATTCCATGCTTTCGCTTGGCTCGAACTGCAACCGACACAGTTGCAACCCTTGCAGGGAAAGAATGCCAGACATCCAGGGAAAGGTGGTGCTTTGTGATGTTTGGAGCTTTGCAAAATCTGCTTCAGCTGAAAGCCCAAAATTTCAACAGGATCGATTCCATCCGATTTCTTGTTTCGGCATTTCAGATTTTATGATTTTTGATGAGTTGTTTTTCCCCCTTTTTTCTGGATGAGATTTGTGATTTGTGGAACTGTCCGAGGCATTGGCCTCCTTGGTGAAACCCTCAGCACCACTCTCCGGGTCGTCGGTCGTCCACCGTTTGGTTCCAAGCCCCTCACATGTCGCATACATGTCGCATACATGTCGCATACATGTCGCACCTAGCGCACAGATGCGCGCAGGCTGTATGCACCATTACAGCTTGACCCTCAAAGTTGTGGCACATTCTGCACATTCTAGGTTTTTGTGCTGACATTTTTTGGAAACATATTGATTCATGGATACTCATGCTGAATTTCTGCCTTGGACAAGGCGCCGGTGCACCAATTGTTCAACTTTCTTGCCACTACTCCAGAGGCTTGAAGAATCGTGAAGATAGCAGTTTATCCTGGAATCCTGATTCTGAACTCATTCTGAACTCTTTTAACGTGATGTTCTTTTTTTGTGTGTTTGTATATTTTGTATGTGTTCGTAGTTTCAAGGCACATTAGAGCGGGAGAGTCGACATCTCACCTGTCCTCATCTCTCCAGGGATGTGACTTTGAGGCGAGATCACTGAGCTTTTCAGAACGATCTGCTATGGCGAGGAGGTCGGCAGATGTCCAGATGTCCTCCAGATGCAGCCTTATAAGTTACTTTTTTCATCTTTTTTCAGTCTTATAGAGAGGAGTTCTTTCACATTTTTCATAATTTTTTCATAATGATCCATGCCTTTTGTGTTGCCCAACTTTGCACTTTTTCCATGACTGGAGCAATGGAGCAAGTCTTGTTTTTCCAGCTTTGCCTTGAGGGGATCGGTCATGGTGGAATCCTCGGTATCCGGTAGACCTGGCTCAAGGAAAGGTGGACAAAGTGAAAACATGCGGTTGTAAACGGTTTAAACATGTTTAAACATGTTTAAACATGTTTAAACGCTGCATCAATCTTTTATAAATTCTATATTTTCATCTATTCTCAAGCGGACTTGCCTTCCCAGGAAAAAACGCTCTACCGAACCAAAAATAGTGAAGATTCAGCACAAGATGCAGCGCTCTATGAGTTGACCCATGAGATGACACAAGATCAACACCGTATCAACACCTGAAGCCGAAAAGTTTTAAGTTCTACAGCAATTGCATGACTATTGCATGACTATTGCATGACTGCATGTATTTCTGCTCAAATGGGTCAAGCATGAACGATCAGTCAGTCCATCTTTGTTTCTTCGAGTGCGAGTGAAACAGCTGAATTTTGCCTCGGCCTTATGCAGCATGACGATGTCGAACATCCGTACCTTTGCAGACGAACTGCGGGCTGCAGCGAGGGCCTTTGAAATCTGACCATCTTTGACATGCTTTGACATGTTAGATCTGGAGTTAGATTCCTGTAAGTCTTGGGAAGATTATGGATGGCATGGTGTTAAGTGTGGAAGAAATCCAAACCAAAACGATCTGCATATACGAAAGATACAAAGCATTACAAAGCTAGGAATGAGGCTCTGAATAGACGACTGATGAACTAAGACGCAAGTGAAAAGGACAGCAGGGAAAGCACAGGACATGTAGCCGTCATAGCTTTCTGCTGTTGGACATTTCTCATCGAGTTTAGACATCATTCGACATTTTTTTGGGTTCTGGATATCTCTGCTGTTCGTGGTTTAGCCACGCTTCAGGTCGAGCAGGCTGCAGTCAAAAGGGCCAACGAGCGGCCAGCAAAACGACTCTGCATGGTGGCTTTCCCAGCATCAAACATCCGAAAAACATCTGAAGAATGTCCGAACTTTCAGAGAATGGACAATGCGTTCTGACCAGTTCCTACAAGTTCTCTGTTGAGACATCGATTATTGCACTCAGCGACACATTGATACTGATTTCATGGCTTTCATAGAAATAAATCACAAAGGCCATCTGTTATCATTTGTTTGTTTACACTCCTCTTGCATTCTCTGTTGGCCTTTGGCCTTGCTCTCTCAGTACGCTTCTGTTTTTTTGCCCGTTTCCTTCAAAATGAGCAGCACCTCTTGCATTTTATTGTTTGCACTCGGCAGCTAGCTGCTAAGCTAGCTTGCAGTTCAGGCTTCAGAGAATGGAAATTGGCATTCTCCGACACCGACGATTGCGACCGTTGCGACTGTGGGAACAGCGGGAACAGCGGGAACAGCGGGAGCAGCAACTGCGATGCTTGCGGCAACGCAGATGCCGCCCCAAGAGCGCACCACTTTTCCTGTCTCAAATCCTGCCAGCATTTCTCTGCAAACTCCAGAGCCAGATGGAGGAAAAGCAGTGACAGAACAGAAAGAAAAGACAGAAAAGACAGAAAACAAAAATACCCAGAATACTGAGACAGCTGAAGCAACCACTGCCACTGAGAATACCAAAGATGCTGAGCTAAACGGCTCAGCAAAAGCTCCCAACAAGAAGACACCAATACGACAAACGAGCTTTGAAGAGAGACTGGATGCTTTTGTGGGCAATCTGGATCTTTCAGAGGCGCAACTTTTCGCATGCCTTAGTCAAGTTATGCATGAATCACAGGGAATCACAATGAAACACATTTAGTTGCGTGAAGTAAAAACTTTGCACTGAAGTGCCCTGAAGGTAGAGCCAAGACCTTAGTCTCGTGGCATCTCTGTGCCTACTCTGCTTGGGTCTTCTATGCGGAAGGTATGGAATGCATGGAATGCATGGAATGCATCTTGCTGAGGATAGAAGATGTCCCGTTGTCGCCAGAGGACCGCCAGTTGTAAAGCAAGTCGCGACTTTGCACGGAATCAAGGCTTCATACGCATACGCATTCAGCGCATTCACTTAGAACTACCCACCGTAGTGACCAAGAATATGGAGTCTTGGAATCTACATGCAGATAGATACAGAATCGTTGACCAGGAGCAGAGTCGAAAGGACTTTGCGGATCGCTGGCCTCTCAGCGGTGGCATGTGAAATCTGATTTTAGCTTCAAACAACATGCTAGTGATGCTAATGCTATAGACATGTAGATATTCTTCTTTAAAGCTGAATATGTTCAGGTTTATGTTATTTAAAAATTAATGTAATGTAATTATAGTATACATATGTATATATATAATTATAATTATATATATATATATACATTATTTGCTTAATACTTAATACACTGTTTTTTCTTGTTCAACTTTTTTGAGCATCGTGGTCCGGTACGGTGTGGTTTCCTGGTCCCTTGCGCTTCGAGGCCTGGACCGGCGATTGGATGAGGAAAGCCTCGGGAGCACGTGCTGCAGCCCAGCGATCGTTACGATCGTTACGGGCCAGGGGTGTCGTTTTTTTTTTCCGAAAAAGTGCAAAGTTGTCCTGTTGCTTTTTTAATATTTCATGCCTTTGTGCCTGGTATTCTATTGGCCTGATTTCCTTCAAGTAGAATTCAGTAGAATCCACAAAGTCGACAGGGCGGACAAGGCCAAAGATGTTTTTTTGCATTTTGTTTGCCTTGTTTCTTTTCTTTTTGCTTGAGGCTCGAAGAACTGAATACAAAGGCTTCATCATGGGGTGCTCTGAGGCTCGTGCACAGCTTCACACTGGATGCAGAGTCTCTAGATGTGCTCTGCAGACATGGTTTGTCCGTGAGTCTGGTGCGATGTGAAACGAGTGAAACGAGTGAAACGAGGAGAATGAGAAGCATTGGACTGCTTTTAGTCCATGTGCCTCAAGCTCAGAGACGACTTGCCTTGTCCTAAGAACTCTGCATCCTACAAATCCTATGGAATTTGTATTTCTGCGAATAGGAAAAGGCTGCTCGAATCTTGTTGATTTGGAATCCCGAATTTTGTCCATATTGACGAGTTGCTCTCTTGTGTCTCTCCTGTCCATCTTGTTTTCACTTGCTCTGTTACCACTATCTTCCTGGGAACCGTTTGAGCGTGTTGTGCTTCATAATCGGTCAACAGCTGGGTTCAGAAGGAAACACGATCCAGCACAACGCGTCAAACGGTGTCAAACAGTCTTTCAGAGTCTCTGAGGGTGTCATATGGTGTCATCGATTGTCATCGAATCGTAGGTCCAGGTCTTCCAGGGCCTGCCGCGCCGCCTTCGTCGTCTTGGCCTCTGTGTTGAGACGCAACCTGACGGAACGTGATGCAACGTGAATTTCAGTAATCTCAGAACGATTCACAGTGATGATATCATGCTATCGATCATCCTATAGATAATGGAATCGGTGACCTTAGATGAAGAACCTTTCGAAGCAAAGACACAGTGACCAAGTGATGCGGTCGGAGTTGCGGTCACCATTTTCCTTCCACTGTACTTCTCCGAGGGGCTAGAAACTTGAATGAGATGTTGACACTACATATTGTATGCTTGGCATTTGCATTAAAGTGCACGTCAGATATGTGACATGATGCAACATCATGCAGCGTCATATTGAATAGCAACATATCTTTTAACAGATGCTTTCGCACTACGATCTGCACGGCAAAGGCGAAAGGCCTGCCACTGTTGGGTGAGCTCCTGACAGATAGCGTGGGGGTTCTGGAGGCAGAGTCTGGACAGCAAGTGCTTGGCAATTGCTTTTCAAGTACATCAGCATCATTACAACGTCATTGTACTGTTATGATTCAATGACAATATGACAATATGCTTCAAAATATCACAATCATGTTTCGATATATTACAATATGGCAACATATGGCAACATATGGCAACATATGGCAACATATGGCAACATATGGCAACATATGGCAATATATGCCATATATATATATATATTGTTAAAGGGAACGAGATGACACAACATGTACAGCATGCACTGTTTAGACAACATGCTGTGACCGCCAAACAATGGCTCAAGCGTATGAAGAAAAGGGCTGCGCCGCGTGACTCCGCATGGACATTTTCGGCTACCGGTAACAAGGGTACTTCCTGATTGAGATAACATCCAGAACAAGGATAAAATTGTTCACAGGTTATCAGCCGTAAGGGCTCACTTCTTCCGTCGGAAGAGGAGTACCTGCGTGCTGGTAGCCGGACCGTCTGAGCTCAAGATTGTGGACGCAAAGGACCAATCAGCTCATCATCGCAAAGATGCAGGGCGGCAGCGGAGACTCGCGCAACACGCAGTTTACCTTCAATGAGAACACTGCTATGCCGGTCGAGGAGATCACTCAATCTTCCCCTGGCGACACGGCAGACAGTGGTGGGATACGCTCTACCCGAACTACACAGTCCGGATGGCAAGTTACATCAAACAGACGAAGAATATCCACCCAAAGTACACCAAGATCTTCTCGAAACAGTGCTCGAAGTGATGTTGTCCGTCAAGGGCATCGGCCATCACGAGGACGAACTACCCCAAGGGACAGATCCACCAGGGCCGTAACCGACCGAATTGGTGAGAGGACCGGGGACACTCGCGTTAAGAGGAGATCAACGGATACTTCTGTGGCTAGTGAACCTATTGCCAATGATAGAAGAACTACGGGCACAATGTCAATCCTTACGTAATCAGTTGAACCACATGGAAGCATATGCTGCATCAAGAGATCAACTGATTCATGACATCGAGATCAGATTCACTGAATATCTTCAGGAACACAACCAGAATGTGTTTGATGAGGTCAATGCACTCAATCATAGATTGTCATGTTCCGCAAATGAGGTTGCAGAGTATCAAGCAGAACTAATGGTAGCATCTCAGGAAGATGAAGGTGCAACAATGCGCATCCAAGACCTTGAACGCCGAGGTGCCCTGATGGAACATGGTGCAAGACGAATCCATCAACGCGGTATGGAGATCCAGGAAGAGTACAAGGATGAAGTACATCACCTTCAAGGACTGTTGGGTAATACGGAGGCAAGACTTCAGCAACTTCATCAGACCAATGTCTTAACTACCGATATTGCCAACCGATTGTACACTGAAGGTCAAGAAATGCAGACGGATGTCCAGAACTCAATTATGGAATATCGTAATCGATCCGAAATGGCATCCTTCTCAAGCAATCAACTTGAAATGATTAGCCAACAACAATCAATTGCAGTTCATGAATTGTCTGAACGGAATCAGCTATTGAGTGAAGCTCTAGTTCAGTCTCGTAAACAGGCCGAGTTGTATGAAAGCAGTATTGAAGAGATCACTAGAGAATCTAGAAAGAAGGTTTTCGAGGCAAATCAGGCCAAATTGGAAAGTGATCTGAAACACCGAAACACTGAACATGATACTGTCAGAAGAATTGCATCATACAGGAACCATGAGGCTGAAGCGATATCACACCTGAGGCTTGAATCACAAGCTAGTGCGAATGCGATCACAAGGGCAGAGCACTATGAAGAGCTCTACGTCAATGAGCAGGAGATGAACTGTGAATTGAAGGATGAGATCAACTTGCAGAACGTGAAGTTGCGAAGATCATTGACTCAGGGCACTACGACCGACGGTCGTGGCTCTGATGAGATGCTTGTTGAAGATCTACGTAATCAAGCCAAAATCGCTCAAATCAGGGTTCAGGATCTAGACCATGAAGTTCATGAATGTTTACAGGAGAACATGTTGTTAAAAGAAAGATTGACTGAAGTTGCGGATGTAGGAGCGTCGTCCTTCTCCAATGCTGAAGTCCAAACTTTAAGGTCTGAACTAGAAAGTGAGCGCAAAATGAAATTGGCTAGTGGTGTTCAGCAATATGAGAGATCATGCATGTTCATGGGGGAAATTCAGGATAGGGATGAAAAGATTGGTATCAAGAATTCTGAGATCATTGACATGAAACGTCACATAGACGAACTGAGAAAGAGTCTTAAGGATTCTGAAACATCTATGTCCAGGGTCAGCCCTGATACACTTCCCTATTCGGCAGGCATCCCCAATTATGATCTCGCATCAAGACTGGTCATCGACAAACTGGAGAATGAGGTGAATGAGGCCAGCTCTGAGAACGCCATCCTAAAATCTTGGGTATCGCAGATCGACAAGGAATTGACCTACGAAACGAACGCTGCTCAGTCCTATCGCGGATATGCTGGATCTTCTCAACAGCAACCTTCTCAATCGAACAAAAGAATCACCGATCTGCTGAAAGAAGTTGACAACAAGATCGCCGATGGAACTGAGAAGGACTATTACAAGCCTCCGAGCGGATGGGGCGGTCCGCCTGACCCTGATGGGCCTCCTGACCCTGATGGCCTCCTGACCCTTTCGGGCCCAACGGTCCAGGACCACCTCCAGAACCTCCTGGTTTGCCTTCAGTTCGAGGATCACAACGCGATTCGGCAGATGACATCTCCACAGCGGCGTACACTGCAGAAGAAGTACCGAGAATGTCAAGGCGGGAGGCTGACAAAGTCTATGTTAGCCCATGGCCGAAGCAACAGAACCTTGGGGTTTGGCAATCAGATCTCATCAAGGGTGTTGTTCTCGCCGCGAATGATGGAGACAAAGCTGCATGGGAAGCATGGTTACAACCGGCTATTCGACCAAATCCTGACATCGAGCTATTGAATGACAGTGGTGGGCAACGATATCAGTCAATTGACGCCAAGTTGTCAATTGCATTGTCGAACGTTATAGCCCAAGCCGGTGATGTTGCTCGTCATGTAGCAATTAAACTAAGATTGAGAACACAGAGTCATAGTCGAAGAGGAACCTATGTTATGGGACGAGAAATTTTGGCTATGATTCTGGAACACTTCAGAACCCCAGGTCAACGAGAGACAGCCTTCACCATGGAGCACATCGTATCGATGAAGTATCTCGGTGACTCCAACCTGGAAGTGTTCTACGAGAAGTGGATGGAGATGGTATCAAACATGATGCCGGATGATGTACCTCCTGGCGATTGGCTTCGTGACGCTCTATACAAGAAGATTCGAAATTCGAGTCTAATGATGTTCGACATCAAGCAGTACGAGTCATGGATTGAAGGAGATCAAAGACGAAGCTACCGCTACCTGTTGGACGTCATCGAAAGGCACATCTCTAGAATCAGAGAAGACAAGCATGTGGCCGCTAGAGAGAAGTATGCAAGAGACTTTGCAGGTGGTGGTAAACCCACTGCTCCTGCACCAAATCCAACTGCTGCTGCACCAGATGCCAATCCGAAAGCGAAGGCTAAAGCCACTCCCAAGGAGAAGGCAGCACCCAAGGCGAAGGCCAAGGCTGAAGCAGCTCCAGTTCTACCATCACCTCAACCAAAACAGCATGCAAAAGGAAAAGGGAAAGGTCAAGGGAAAGGAAACGGGCGACCAAACAGCCGAAGTGCTAGCCCTAGATCCAAGAAGAAGATCCCATGCCACTTCCATTTCATCAAGAAAGCATGCAGAAAAGGCAAAGATTGTGAATACAGTCACGACCAAAAGGTGTTTGATGCGAACAAGAACACGAAAGGTAATGGTCGAAAGCCAGGAACTCCGAGAAGTCAATCTCCAGCGAACAAGACCAAGAAGATTGATGAACCATGCTGGCATTGGGCCAAGGGCAAATGCCGATATGGAGACAAATGCAACAAACGTCACGATCCTCATCTATTCAACACTGCTCCGAATACCGAAGCGTCAAGCTCAAAGGCTACTCCTGCACTTGTCCATGAGTGGAGTGATGACGAAGGGACATTCCACAAGGTTGCATCGAATATCGTCAAGAAGAAGGTCAGATTCGATGAGTCCAAGACTTGCATCCATACGTACGTGAAGAAGGACTTCGTGAAGTGCAGCCGGAAATCCCAGACCATCCCCAAAGGTCATGGTAAAGTTGGTAAGCCCACCGATCAGATAAGACAAGATGAGCAATGGTCTTATTCATGCAGACTAGCATCGAGCCGAGGGAAGGCAATGGCTATCCTGATCGATGAGAAGGGTGAGTACAGTGACATCGATGAAGTCCTAGTCATCGTCGGCCCCAGTCTGGACATTCTGATCAGATTCGACATCGAGGACGGTGAGGTGTCCAGGGAAGTCTTCGTGGAGAACTATGTTCAGCATATCGAGGGTCGATATGGTAAAAGGGGCAACACAATGTGTATCACTGTTCCTGTTGAGGAAAGAGATAAGAGATTCATATTGGATTCTGGAAGTGGTCATGATCTTATCTCATCCACACGAATAAGTAGAATGGATCTCCCAACATATGATGATAAAGTCGTCAACTTCCATACAGCAAACGGGGTAACATGTTCGACCAAACGTTCAAGTATCAAGTTCGAGGCATTCAACGAACCAGCAGAAGCTCACATCCTGGAAGACACGCCTTCCGTGATCTCCATGGGCAAGCGGTGCGTTGACCTTGGCTATTCATTCGTATGGCCGACTGGAAGAACTCCTTTCATGTTAGACCCCAATGGCAACATCATCGAAATGACTGTCAAAGACTACATTCCTTATGTGAGTGTTGACCAAGAGAAGAGGAAGCTAAGATCATCCTGCGTAGAAAAAATCATGGCAGTTCTCGATGATGGGTATTCAACGTCAGAAGGCGAAGGTCTTTTGGTTATTGACGGAGAAAGTGGGGACGAACTTGAGGATCTTTCCGGCGCCGTTGGACGATCCGA